GAGGGAGGTTTGGTATAAATATACAACCAAGTTATATTATCCAGCAATAAGAAACATAATAAGAAAAATCACACCAATCAAAATATAATAGACCAACATGGTATAAACTGAGTAAAGGACCAGTGTGGGTAGGAAAAATTTCCAGGGTGGCATTTAGTAAATGCAGCTGCAGATTGCAACCAACTAATTAACGCTTGCTTTCCAAGCGCATAGGAGGAAACCTACAGTGGCTACAAACTTGTGAAAACATGAACACGGTCCCTATCTAAGTTGGTGTCTGTTTGGGAACGAAAACACAAATTATTCTATATCAGGTGATTATACTCTAATAAAAATCATAATCTATAAATATTAATATTCCATTTTCCACCAAAAATGGATCCTCCTTAATGTTTATACAAACTGGACTTTAAACAACCGCAAGATGCAAGGAGGAAAATAAAGTAACTTCTGAACAACAGAAAGTTTAGATTGTAATAGAAATCAGGTGTCTGTGGTGGTGAGAAACAATTAACATTCAGAAACTAAATAGGTCCAGAATTAATAGATCAAATAAGTAAACAAAATAAAAGGTTTGGAATATTTAGTTTATGGATCACCAATAATGAAATCAAGAACACAGCAATGGAGAACCCACTATCACTCCTGCACTGTGATCACTTTAAAAATCTTCACATGATGACCCTGACCCACAAATGTGTGTCCATAAGCCTGCCAGGGAACTGTGTCCCATGCTCCCAGATTTTCAGCGAAAACAGTAGTGTAAAAGGCTTGATGCGTTTTTTATTCAAGCAAGCGCTGACAGCGGGCTCGATCCTGCCCACTCCTTAAAGTTTGGCCGACGGGACACCTGAACAGAAGAGAGACACAAGATGATGGCAGGAGAAAACGTAAGGACACAATTTCTATCCAGCTCCCCCAGGTGGTTTAAGTTCATCTGTACGTACAGTCCTGATGTGACCGCAAAACCATGAAGGCGACATATCTTGGTGAAAGAATGAACCAGCTAAGCAGGCTGGACGAGAATTTGGATTCCAAGCCATGCACCAAACACTTGTGGCCTCAAACATGGAATTTAGTTTGCTCCAGACACTTCCTTTATAACGGTCAAACAGATTTTAAAATTACTTTCAGATTTTTTTTTCACATTTTGTACAATTTGTACAAATTAAAAATGTTGATCCAAAACCTGGAAAGTTTGTGGTTTACTGAGGAAAGTTGGCTGTTCAAGGTCCTTTTAACCTTTGAAAACCTCCAAACCCCTCCAAAGTTTTTCTACAATATTATTCCCTGGTAGTTACTACTAGTTTTTTCGCTGGATGCTTTTACATAAAAGTCCCATTAAACAACATCAATGGATACAGATTTTAAAACATGAGCAGTCTGAGTTTGTATAAAAACCCCAGAATCAAAGCCTAAGCTGACCTCAAAGCTTGACCTGAAGATTTCTAACGTGGGTCCCTCGACTTCCAGTGAGGTTCAACAAGTGGAGTGAGGCCTGGTTGTAGATCACAG